ATGTACCTAACTGCAGCATGACTATCTCCATGTTAATGCCTGCCATACAAAGTCATATTTTCCTGTAGAAACAACTTGAACATGATGCGATTAACCTTTAAGGTCCCCCTCCCCTCATCTGAAAGCCTACCTCATGCATGCCCTATGCTTCCTACTCGTGTTCAGCCATCTGATTTCCATATCACCCACTCACTCTCACCAGCAAGCATTAGCATAACAGAGCTGTCTCGTGACTTTGATTGAAGCCAGCTTGGGCTGAATTCAGTATCAAAGCATAATTTCGCAGAAATCAAATCTAATTTGCTGTGCATTGTATTCTCAAAACACAGTTTCAAGTGAACTGGCCTAGACCTCTAATCTTAATTGACCTTTTTATAGATCAGGTCTACTTCTCTGGAAATCACACAACATACTTTTCTCATAGAGATATTGTTTTTTAATGTGTCAGTGTTGATTAAATACTGAACTGCATCACTCTGCGACATCTCATTTCGTCTTATAGCTAAAGCAATAAGGTATAATCACTTGACATAGTAGGCAAGTAGGTTATTGCAGCATAGTTACAAGAAATTTGTCTAATGTTTTCTGGTTTTAGAGAGGACATAAATATGTATTTCATAGTCGTCTGTCTTAACAAACATCAGAGAATTGCCATTTTTATAACTAGCATATTCTTTTGGAGTTTATAACTCAATATCCTTAATTCGAATTGGGTTTAAATTGTGTTTTGAATTGTCATCTTGAGGACCTAATTGTGGTTTTTTTTCTTATTTAATGAGAACCATTGTATAAAATCCCTTTTATGTATAGCACACTTCCCACTATCATGCTGTGTTGATAAAACGCCATCCCTGTCTACTCCCTCCCTTTGGTGCCATCAGCCAAGTACTCTTCTTTTCAAACCATTCTCACTGCCACCTGGCAGAGATGCGGAAACTGTGGAGTGTCATCAGAAGAATAATTGATGCTATTTTTCATTTTAAAACCTCAAAAGTAAATTCCTTGAGCTGATATGCCTTCACAGAAGATTGCAATATAGATCTTGGGCAGAGAAAGAGAATCTACAAAAGTAAAAGTGGTCGTTGCAATTTTATTTGTTAGCCTGACTTTGGGTGACAATAGGACATACGTTTTCAGAGACTCAAAAGCTTTTTAGATTGTTTTGCTAAATGATTCAACATTTTTAGTTTTCTTTTAAAAAAAAAAATTTACACTTGACAATTCTGGTTCTATTGAGACCCATGAGACTATTGACATGAAATAATTACATACATTAGAAATAGAGCATATTTGTAGTAACTTAGAATAAAAGTATAATATAAATAGATATCACAGGGAAAAGAGAGTTCTTAGGATTGATGGCTTTTGGTTAGTAGTCTTTAAAAAATATAAAACTGGAAAAAAGTTCAAGAAATGATCATTTCCTGGTCTTTCAAAATGATATTATGAGTGGTAAATATTATGTTGTGATACTGCAGCACTTCATTTTTGTGTAGGAGTTCTGATGAAATGTTTTCTTTAGATGCTACTCATAGCAGTTCTCACTGGATTTTCTATCCCAATTTGCCAAGGTGTTCCAGCCCTTTGTCACTGTCTTTCTAATCATCATCTCCAATCACCATCTACATTGCTTCCAGAGCATTCTTTTTAAAACCATGTATCTGATATCTATTTTGCAAAATCATCTTTGAAAAGATCTTAATAGCTTTCAGGACACAATTTTAAACTCCTTTGTATAAATTATCTAGTCTTATCTATATCAGCTCTATACACCAGGTTTCTTCTACTTTCAAAACTCTTTATCTTCCGGTACCAAATCCAGTTCTACAGGTCTTTGCCTTATGTTCAGCACCTTTGTTCTGTGACCTTAATTCTCTTCATCTAGTGATCTCTTACCTGTGATTAAAAACACAGCTCAAATGTAGCCATCTCTTGCATTTTCAATTATTGTACAAATCGTGTAATGGTGTGTTTGTTTCCTGAGAAATCTCTGCCATAGGACAAGTAGGACAAGAGTACCTCCCAACACCTCTTTTTTCTCTCTCTCTTTTTCTTTTATTTTGGGAGTAAAATGGAGATGGAACCCAGAGCCTGTGAATGCTAGACAAGAGCTCTAACAGTGAGCTACACCCCCACTCAATTGCCATGTAATATTTGGCTTCCCATGCCCTGAACCAAGCAGAATGTCTTAGAATTTGTATTCAATCAGTACATTTTGAATGAATAAATGGATGAACTCTAGCTTCTCAGGAAAATGTATGCCTAGATATGGTCAATTCTAAACCTTTTGGGGGGAGACTATAATTTAGCAGCTGTGATAAAACTATAGGATGTGGATTTCAAAAATGCTTTACAAAAACAATCATGTAAAACACATTTTTAAACATTTAAGTATCAAATTCAAGGAAGTCTATAGCTATATCTAAATTACAGATAGTGCTTTTACTGACATAGGTAGATGACAGAGAATAAAATGCTTAAAACTATGTTTTCATTGCTTCCATTTATGTTTCATTTGATGACTTCAATCTGTTATTGCTTTTTTAAATATATATATATATAAAGGAGGATTGTGTAAGTACCCAGGTTCTCAGGTCTTACTAACTAGTTATATAGGCCAATTTAAATTCTTTCTCACCCAAAGCTGTGCAAATGAACTAATAAGCTGAATAGGCAACTTTTATTAAAGAGTGTCAAATAACTGATTTTGACTAAATTGGGTTTTTAATTTTTGAAGATGACATACAAGCTAAATACCTCAATACTTCTCAAAAAGCTAATGTCCACATTGGCATTATTACTTTTCTTTCATAGGATTTCATACAACTATACACTGATTCTTAAATATTTCATAACATTTTTTTTCTAGAAAAATCCTATACCATATTACAGATGATGAAGACCAACCTTTAATCTTCTGTGGCAAAAATATCCAGTGGTTTCACATTTCTGCTGAAAAATGAATACTGCTGTGCTTTAAAAGTTTTTCCTAAAGTAATTTTGTAACATTGATTTAAACTATCATTTCTATTAGCAAACATATAACAAAAATCAATGTATCTGCTGATTCAGGAGAAGTGTGTAGAAATAACAAGTAGATTGTGAGAGGCCTGTAATCTTCTGAGCATGCCAGGCAACATAAACCACACTCTGTCCAAATAGAGCCATAAATCCAGGTTCTCTGTACTGTTAGAATGAGTCTTCCGTTATCTTTAGTTATAGAAAAGAATTTCACTTAGTAGATTTATCCCTTCTGTCCTTGGGGTATGTGTTGGATACCTTGAATTAGGAGCCAGGAAAATAGAACACCTAAAAAAAAAAATAAGTCAATACAAATCTCACTAAGTTCTTTTTGAGAAAAATACCCCATGCTTTCACAGTGATAGCATTTTTGTTAGGATGAATGATTGGTTTTAGGTTTGGGGCACCATGTATTTATTCTGTTCTTGGATTTGCACTTGAAATAGATATAGATAGAGATAGAGATAGATAGATTAAACCCTGGGGTGCGCTATCCCTGAGATACATCCCCAGCCCTATTTTTTAATTTTATTTTAAAACAGGGTCTAATTAAGTTGCCCAGAGTGGCCCTGAACTTTTGATATGTGTGCCTCAGCATCCTGAGTCATGGGATTACAGGCGTGCATCACTGTACCCAGCCTCTCATCCCTCTCTTTTTCTTTACTGTTAGAGTTACTCATTTGTTTTCCTTATTATCTTCACAATACCATTTTATTAGCTTGTTAGCCAGACTCCATGCTTTAGTGACTAAATGTCACTCACCCCATTCATTCTTCCTCATCCATACTAAGTTCATTGAAGGGTTAAATCTTCCCAAACCACTTTTATCATCGCTACCCCACTCAGAAAGAGACAGTATAAAGTGAGTATGGCTTCTGAAGTCTTCCTTTGTTGCCATGATATTTATATAACTCTGACCTCCCTTTCCTGTCAGATTGCACACTGTTAGGCTGGAGATGGTCTTGCTGCTTCTACTTTGCCCGGAAGACGCCTATGCTTGGAATGTGTTCATCAACCACTTATCCAAATGCTTCCCTTGCCCCAGAGTTCCCACAACTTCCCTTTCCCACACACAGCCTTTCACAGCCACTCAAGCACAAAGAGATCCCTCCCTCTTGAAGTCTGGTCACACTGACTGTGTACACCATAACTGAAGAGTTCCCCTCAGAGCTCGAAGAGGACCTCTACCACTGAACTTAACATTGTCTTAGATGTATAGGTTTTGTGTTTACTGTTATCAAAATCATCATGTTTTTAAAAATGTCTCTATTCAACTGTGAGTTCCTTGACAACTATCATATAAAGCTTTACCCTGGGTGATTTTACTGGCAAGTAAGAGAACATAAGAATTGCCTGACTATTGCCTATCTGTCCAAATGAAATTAATTAACTAGAATAAACTAATTTGATACATTTATTTATATTGTTTGTTATTTCAAATATGTAATTTCCATCCCTTAAATAATTCAATGTCTTTAATCTTCAAATCTTGAATTCCAGAATATAAGAATTTTAATAATATGGATCATATTTTATGCCTTCTGACATTCCATTGCCTCATTCAATATCTTACAAATATTGTAATAAAATGAGTGTGTACCAGGAGATGGATTTTAAAGGAGGAGATAATTGTGTAAAGGAGTGATTCCTTTCCATGTTTTTTTATTAAAAAACATAACCAAATCATTTTTCTGAAAAATGTTAGAATCATAAGGGATCTATTTTCCCATACAAGTAGGTGGGACACAGGGATATTATATAATCGACAATATTTAAAATAGATCTGCTAATAAGTTTTCTCACATTATTTCCCCAATCCCTTAATGTTTTAAGAAATGCCTACAAGTAAGTAAAAAAAAAAAAAAAAATTGTAGCCTCTCTGGCACTGAGCAATCCACCCAGAGCCAGATTTTCTCTTTGATATCTTTTTCTTTGACAATGGTTGATATTTACACATTTTCTTTCCTTTTAAATTATAGCTCCTCCTCAGTTTGTGGTTAGGCCAAGAGATCAGATTGTTGCTCAAGGTCGAACTGCAACATTTCCCTGTGAAACTAAAGGAAACCCCCAGCCAGCTGTGTTTTGGCAGAAAGAAGGCAGCCAGGTGAGTGTGAGGCTTGACTGCTTTTCTGAAGTCTCTGAACTTTGCTGACTTTGGTACTCCCTGAAGCTTGCCTTGCCCCCATTGCTATCAGATGCTGAACTTATTTTATTGCTAAAAGAAATGGTTCTAAAATAAGTGAAAGACAGATGTTCTTGCACTTTTTATTTGCTAGTGGTAATCTTTGAAAATCCTGCATTTTGCAAGAAACAGAGTGCAGCAAACTTATTTTAAAAATCCAACCAAACATCTGTAAATATTTAAATCTCTGCAGGTTAAGGTGATTTTGCTTTCTTGAACAGGATTAGTCTGTGTAAGTGAGTTTGTACATACAAAGAGCTGAGAATAATTCCTCGTTCATGGAAGATGATCAAAAAATATTTCTAGCATTTATTGGCATAGATCCAATATCCCTCCACTTCTAGATAGAAAATATAAATGACTTTTAAAAATTATTAATTTAAGCCTATTTCCACTTAAGAGTTGAAGAAATCTTTTCTTTCATTTTCCCTTCTGGATTTCTTCACAGTAGGGTTAAACAGAAATAATATATAACACAAAGAGCCAATACCTGCCTTGTCTTTGCTTTGCTCTTTCTGGACATGATGGCCTCTCAATGTCTCTCCCAAACCCAACTGGATACATCACTTCTATAATTTAGCACTTGGTCCAAATTCGGAGAGTGTTTAGCCTCTTCATTTCTGAGGCAATGAATGGAACTTTCAGCTTAAATTAGATCCGAAATTGTGATCTTTGCATAATAATTTGTGCATTCCTGAGAGATCTTGAATGATTTTGTGCTAGATTCTCTAAAACCATCCAGACAATAAATGTAGTTCTTGTGGTACTCCTCCCCAGCACATTCTGTACTAGTCCACGTTCTGAAAAAATTTCTCAAGGATTAATTGAAAATATTATTACAAGTCATAGGAAATCTGAAAACTTTGCCATCAATAGGGAATGGTTTTAGCTACATTAAGAGAACCTAAAGATTAGAACTCATATATGTCTATCTTTCTGGAGAGCATCTAGGAAGTCCTGCTCAGCTATGCTTTCTAATTTGCAGGGGTTCCTCTGCATTCCTGAACCACCCCCAAACTAGCAGTTTTAATCTCTGGATGGACACCTGGTCATTCTTAATTTCTCAACACTGCTTGTTACTTCCCTTCTGAGTCAGGGATGTAAAGACAATGAAGAAAAGAGAGTCATACCCATTGCCTTATCCCATATCAGAATTATCAGACTTCAACTCCCAATTTTTTTTATCATTTAACAGCTATAAAATGTATTTCTCTTCATAGATTTCCCTGACTATTCTTTTCAGTTTCTTTCACATGAATTTATCCCAAACATTCCAGTGAGTATGAAAAAAAAATAATATGATAGTTAAACACACACATGCATATACACTCACAACCTTTAAAGGAGAGGCCTTAAAGCCATTTTCTCCTTTTTAGTTGCACAGTATTTGTAAGTGCTATTTAAATTTACTAAAGCTAGTTTTTATACTAATCTGAAATTTTGGGCTATACATCTTACCTCCCATGAGTTATGAAGATTTCATGAATAAGTGTAAATGTAAAAGGAATTTACATGTTATGAAGATAACACAAATTGCTATTTTGTCACTGATAGCAAACATAATGATGTGAAGCAATTTGATTATTGCAAATTCACACTTTAAGTCATGTTTTGAGTGAAATCTCATAATGTTTCCTGATATATATGTGTGTGTGTGTGTATATATATATATAAAAATATATATATATGATTTATTTTTGTAAGATTATTTCATGTGTACATAATATCCCTCAAAATAGCTCCAAGTTAGATACAAAATGTTTTTTTCCTGTAGTCTAATTCACATATGGTATTAAACATTGTTTTTAATGGTTATGAAAATAGTTATCAAAAGCATTGAAGTATTCCTTTTCCTATTTGACAAAGTAGCATGTAAATCCATATATACTATAGCTAAGGATGCCACAAAATTTCTACTTAGCTTCTTTGGCTTGTTTATTATCATAGGTCTAGTTACCTTCTTCTTACCAATCTGCTCCCATCAGAGATCTAGAGATTGGGAGAAGGGAGGGAGGCACAGAGGGAGAGAGAGTAAAGAGAAGTGCTTGAGCAAACTGTAAATTTTCAAATCATGAATTAGGATATTAGGAAAAATAAATTGGTCTTACTGTCTCTAGTATCCAATTTCTATGGTGATCTATGACTATCCATCAGTAGAAAGAGTGAAGTGCTTGGACTTAATGGTCCATATTCCTCAATATGTGCTGATAATGCCAATTAGTACTAATAGGATTCTCAGACACTTCGAGGCAAGCAGAGCTCTGTAGAGTTCCTTGGTTTTGCTTATAATCCATTTTCTTTTGGCCATGTCATACAAGCAGGGAATAAAGATGATGGGTTAGCCTCAATCAAATGCCATTTTCCATGTCAATGGATCATTTAGAAGGTGGACTGATATTACATCGTAGAGGAAAAGATCCCAGAGAGAATTAGCCTATCTGATGGATTGGTGCTATGTAAATTAGTATTCTAATGGCTAATTGTAAGAAAGTGCACACTTTGAGTTATCGTATCATTTTCAAGTGCCTTTAAATTTAGACCCTTCTCTTTTGGATGGTTTATTTCTGCAATATATTTGGATTCCATATGAGATTTAACTTGTTCTCAAATTATGTTTCATATGCATGAAAATATCTAGACTTAGATAGTAATTCAAATTTTAGGAGAGGGAAACAGTTTTTTTGAAATCATATCCCTGACAGGCTAGCAAACATCTCTTCTTTTAGGAGTTTAATAACATGGTAATGTTTATGTAAAGTGGGCTTATAGTGTCACACTTGAATCTAATAAAGTGGACATCCATCATGTTGCAATAAAGAGAAGAGCTTCTAATTAAAGTAGGACATCATTTGCAGGATTAAAGTCATTTAGCGTAATTGAAAAGTGTTAATACCCTATTTTATCCTCTTCCATTGGTAGTACTTCAAGGGTAAAAACATTTTAAGGTGAAAATGTGTCTTGTGCCTTTAATTGAATGTTATTACCTCCTGATTGCAACTTATTGAAACTGTTTAATTACAAACCTGGAAAATTAATTACTATATTGAGAAACAGATCCCCGAGGGTTATAATGTTCTTTTTTGTAAGTAAATAGAACATAAAAATTGATATGTTCTTATTTATAATCCAACTTGGAAACATGCCTCAATATGATTTATTATATCCAAATGTTTTTCTTAATTGAACAACAGTAAAGTGACATAGGTCATCTAAATTGATGTTACTGATCTCATATAAAAACTTTCAACATTTACGATTAGGCTATATGAGATATATGATAGGCTTTTTTGTGATATATAGTAAAGTGTTTTTTAAAAATAATACTTCAAAATTGTTTGGTAGAACATTCTAACTTCCATAATAATTCTACATCCTTTTATTTTCAGCCATTGATTTTATCATGCTTAATTAGCATTTGTCCATAGCTCTTTTGGAAGTTGTCATGATTTGCAGAGCATTATAGCAATACACTCAGCTTTGTCTGTCAGTCAAAGACACACACATTTTTAAAAAATGTTAGAATTGAATTTGTTGTCCCAAAGTATTCAAGATTATCAGTAGCAATTGCAATTATATTTTACATTCTTTGTTTCTTGTAAGTTTAAAAAAACACCTACATATTTATTGTTACTCTCTCCATCCTTACCTTGTGTAGGAGTTAAATCATATGAGCATTATGCTGCCCATTTTATAGATGAGGAAAACTTGTTTTAGAGAGAGTAAATGGCTGAGATCAAGAAACCTTAATGTTACCCTGATTTTATCATTACATGCTGTATATATGTGTTGAATTTATATACTGTAGCCCATTAAAATGTACAAGCATTATATGCCAATCAAAACTTAAAAATTAAAGACAGATCCAGCTTTTTAAAAAATACAGGTGATTATTCCTTCAATTGAAGTATGTTGACGTCACAGAGCATACACCACGATTGGAAACTTTCTCAGTTAGTTTTCCCACTACCCGACCTATAATTACTTTGGAAACTTTTTTGCTTAAATCTATACATCTTTTTACCAATCATATTTTTCATAACTATAATATTTGTTGTTAATGCAATTTTCCTTGTAAATGGTAAAAAAAATATTGATAAGATTATGTTTGCTTCTACAGAACCTACTTTTCCCAAACCAACCCCAGCAGCCCAACAGTAGATGTTCAGTGTCACCAACTGGAGACCTCACCATTACCAACATTCAGCGCTCAGATGCGGGTTACTACATCTGCCAGGCCTTGACTGTGGCAGGAAGCATTTTAGCAAAAGCTCAACTGGAGGTTACCGATGGTGCGATATTGTTTTTAGATTGGTCTCATAAAAAATATGATTTTTATTTCATGGTACACATTAAATGTGGGGTTTTTCTATTTGTTAAACGGTTTAGATCAATGTTTATCCTCTAAATTTAAATCTAGGTAAAGTAACACATTTTAACAGTTTTTAATTTACTTGCCATTATTTCCTTTAATGCCATTTATTTTCCCAAAGGCAGCCCATTTTAATCTTAAAAACAGTGATTTGAAAGAAATTTTAATTTTAAATTTAAATTTTAAAAAAATGACATCAAAATTATTGTGTTTACAAGTGTAATCTGAATACTTTTAGTTAGTCTTATGTTGACATGACAGCTTCTCAAAGATGTTAATAATTATATATTTTACTGCAGAGTAAGAGATATCATCTTTAATATTATCAGTGAAACAGAGAATTAGTTTTTAGTTAGCTAATCACATTATGACATTCCTCTGCCTTTAATTATACATTCACTAAGTTAAATTAATTAAATACTTTTGGAAGCACTGATGAATGCTAAAATTATTATTTTTTACTTGCATTTATATACTTTGAATCTTAACTGAGACACTTACATTCAGAGTTTAAAGTTGAAAAGGTTCTGATCTTTCCCCAAGGTTCATCACAATTGACAGGAAGTTCTAGCTATTTTTTGAGCCTCTGAGCATGAATTTATTCCCCATTCTTCCATGCCTTAAATTAAAATTTTCTATTGCTGTCTTATATTGGTGAGCTTTTTGTGTTTGTTTTCCCTTCTCATGCTGGTTTCTGAGATATAAGACCTTTCGTCTGTGGTTTCTCTAATTCTCTGCTGGTTAAATTTCAATGTGCTTTCATACAATTTGAATTTACATGTAGATTAAAAGTTCATTTAAAATTAATATAAAGGCAGTATTTTTTAATATCTGTCCATGGTATGGCCTGATTCAGCACCATGTCAGGAATGGGAATAAATAGGACAGACAAACACTGGCTGTGAAGACATTGAGTCGTTAATGTCTGCACCTGCTGATGCTCTGGAAATTTATGGCCATGGAGCTGAAAGAAGAAGTCAGGTTCAAGGGTAACAGTGTTGAGAAATCCTTCCTTAAATAGGCAGTGCTTCCTTAAAGCCTCTTTGATGGTTTGTACCTCTTTGTTTATTTAAAAAGAGTGAAAGATAATTATGAATATTTTAAAAGTACTCATATATATTCTATCAGTAAAAATTTCTAGGTATTTATACTTGGAAAACAAGATATCTGGGCCTAAACCTAAGATTTACTCTAAATTGCCATAAAATATTTCAAGCATAATGCTTAAAATATCTACTATAATCTAGCTACTTGTAGTATTTTACATGAGAAAGACTGAGCTTAAATGAATAATTTGCTATGAAAAAGCAGACCATATATGTAGAAAACAAAATGAGTGAATTAGAAGAGGTAGTGGTTTCAACTGATAGGGTTCATGAGACAGGTAGATATTGAGAATTATTTTTGATACAATGAATTGAAAACTTATGTTAGTTGATGACATCTCACAGCTAGAATATCTATTCTAGGTCAAAATTAAAAAGGTCATGATCGAGTTTAAATTTTCAGTTGACTGAGATGGCTCTGAACATTTCATTACAACTGTTTTGAACTTTAATTCCTACATTGATTTTTTACTTAAGCAATCAAAAAGTCAAAGTTATTATGAATAACTATCTCTAAATATGAAGTTGCGTCCTTGGCTGATGACTTCAGCTTCTAGTCATACTTTAGGTTTTTCGGAATAGTTAGTGATTTAATCACATGTAAGCCATCATTTTCATTTTAGGTGTACTCTTTGATAAGATCTAGGGCAATTTTGAGTCAACTGAAATTGTAAATTGAAAAATATATATCATATTCAGAGAAACAAGTGCTTATTCCATCTGTATCAATGTTTTTGTTATATCTTTGACATTAAACTCAATTACTGAGCATATTTTTAATTTAAACATTCATATAGTATTCACATACTATTGCTAATCGTGATGAAATATGTCATGTCGAGTTACAGTTGTACAGATTATGGATTGAGGTAAGATGTTTCCAAATACTTAAGTTTCAAAATAGACCTCTAAAAGATCTTCTCATGGTTATTCACTTTTTTCCTTTGCCCTTATTTCAGAAAGTTAAAATAAAAAAAAAAACTTGTAAAGAAAACTCTATGGGTGGAATGAATAGAATCTAAAAGGACTAGGAGCTGAAATGCATTTCTGTCTTATACTGACTATAAATGTCAAACCATAATCCTACATGAATGGTTTATTGAAGATTTATAATGCATAGTTAGAGAAGACCATGGAGTTGTTCACAGATCACTGGAAACCCTAAATGTTCATTTAAACTTTGACCTTAATGTCATGGAAACCTTGTGGTCATCTTTCACCCATAACATCCTTGAAAGTGAGAATTCCTCTGGCCAGGAGATTTTCAATTCACTTATTGATCGAAGTCATTCAAAAGACAATGAACCACACATTTAGGCATTAAAAAAAAAAGAAAGAAAAAAAAAGGCAGAGGGGAATAATTAGATGACCTTTGGCTACATCTAATGATTTCAGAGATATGACAATAAAAGCAGGTTATAAGAAATTACTGGAATTCTTATGAAGAACTTAATTTGAAGCAAAGACATAACATTTAAAATTTGATAAATAAGTTAGACTCTGAAGACTATTTTTCTCCTCATATTAAAAAAAATCCATTTATCTAGTTTTGGCTCATAAAGGATTTACGTAAAACCATTAGCTTAAATTTCTATTTGCCAAATTATTGCCAAGTGTCTCAAAATTATTGTAATACTGGGCTCCCACATTCTCTTAAGCTTCTTCATTTGTTTCTAAAACGAAGAAAGTGATCAAAAAAATCAGTGAAATAAGTAGTTCTAATTTTGGTGTATGACCAAGTAATTGTTCTATGGTTTATCATAGTTTTTTATTATCAATATAATAAATTCAGGTTCTTTGGGGTCTACAGTGTCTTGACTTTCAGGGGACCTATTATCCTAAGTTCTAATGTAAATTAAAATTGATTGGTTGTGTCATGGGTGGTTCGTAGAGGCCTGGTAATTTTAATGATTTCTTCCCCAAATCTGTGAACACTAGTGTAAATATGATGCATACAGATGGAGACAGAGTCATGAAAATTGATGTTTACAAACATGGATAGACAAAGGAATTGAGAACCTCAAGCAAAATTACTTTTCTAATTATTTACCTGGTAATAAAAAATAACTTTTTGGAGAAAAGAAACCATTTTTTTTTTCGTCACAGTTGCTAAACAATAATTTAAATCCATTATTCTTTTTTATTTTCTGGGAGGATTTTTAAATATATATCTTATGTATTGGATGTTATATGTACATATATGATATATATGATGGGTATTGAATAAATACACAAAGTAAGTTCTAAGTAATATGTTTGGCTTTGGGGTTTTCACCTTACTTCCGATATCAGTACTTTAAGACTATTGAATGCATAGGAGTTAAAATATACTAAATATGTCTTTATTCTTTAGTTTTGACAGATAGACCTCCGCCCATAATCTTACAAGGCCCAGTAAACCAAACACTAGCAGTTGATGGTACAGCATTACTAAAATGTAAAGCCACTGGTGATCCTCTTCCAGTCATTAGCTGGTTAAAGGAGGGATTTACTTTTCTGGGTAGAGATTCAAGAGCATCTATACAAGAGCAAGGAACACTGCAAATTAAGAATTTACGGGTAAGCAATATGTGGTTTGCATTTGAGTCCTTGTCTTAACATAAGAACTGTTCTAGGGAAATATTTTGTGGTGAACTTAAAATCTTACATCTTAGCATGCCTTCTGTGCATGTTATTTCTTACTGTAAAAATTCTTAGTTGAAATTAGAGCAAGGGTCTTTTCCTTATGTCACTCTTAAATTCAAAATAGACCTAGAATCTTTTTACTCTTGTATCACATCTGCTTTGTATGTAATCATTGAAACTATAAATCATAGTTTAATGATTTAAGGATAGTAGTAGAATATATAAAATCCTTTGAAAAAGTGACAGATGCTTCTGATTTTACTATCACTGATGAAAGGGATATCATAGCAAGATGTAGATAAGTTGGCTTGGTCAAAAAATCGTGTAGAAAAAATAAAGGGATGAAACTGAATGCAAGAAAGGCAGGTTTGGCTAGTTAGAGGAAACCCATAGGTTTTAAGGGATGTTGCTGTGGATTTTTTTCATTTAAACACCAGGATGAGAACAAATTGTTGGTGATCTTTCAACTGAAATGTATGCAACAGAGAAAGACCATTCCTGGAAATTTAACAAGTAGGTACCTCTTCAGGAGCAACTCAAAATAATATGTGTGCTTCTGGATATTTTTAAACTATCTATTACAATGTAACAGTATTGGCAGTAAAACAATTATTAATATCTCATAGCTTATGTGAGTTAGAAGCATGACCATGACTTAATAGGTCCACCTGTTTCAGAGGTATAATCAGAAGTGCCAGTTAGAGGAGATGGGGGCTCATATGAAGATTGACAGGATAGATTTGCTTCCAATCACCATGACTGCTGGTAGACTAGAGTTATTTGGGTCTACTGGATTAATAACCTCAGTTTACTTGCCTTTAGTACATTGCTATGTGGACTTTCTCAGTATTCCTGTCTCCTTCCTCTATGTCAACAAGGAAGATCATCTCCTACCAAAATAGGCATTGCAATCCTATGTACGAAAGTCACAAACAAGGTATCTTAAAACCTTGAAACCAATGGTTTTCAATTTACTCAGGTGGAATATGGAAATTGTAAAATCCAGGTGAATGTCACCATGAGGGATATCTGTTCTCTGCCAGTATAGTCAACTCATTCAACCAAGAATAGTTACTCTACCCCTGCTTGCCCCATGTTGCAAGCATTACACTAAAGCTGGAGAATATATTCATAGCACTGGGTTTGAGAGTCATAATTAAGATACTGGGTATAATATAATGCATGAGGAAAAATGGATTGAAAACAATTCAGTGGAAGAACTAGAAACTGGTATCTAGGTAGAAATTGGGAATGAAAGATAAAGAAAAAACAAACAAACAAGCAAAACCATATTGCTCAATTTTCACATTCAGAAGCCAAAGAGGAAAGTAAAAAATGTTCTACTATAAATGTTTTCAAATGAAAAGGATTCTTCCCGTATGATGGGAAATGTTATCTACACTTATATGTTTATCTGGTTATTTATCACTGTAACACACACACACACACACACACACACACACACACATACATACACACACACACACGCCAAATAGAAGAATGATCCTACTTTTGTAGCAAATACATGCGTACATTTTTAAATGTGTGTGTATGTGTGTATATATAAACACATACACACTCACACACACACACACACACACACACCACACACATATATGATTTTGAGACATAGGCATTAATTATTGCTCTTAAGTAACAAAACTACTGCCAAGTTCAGTTAAAGGAAAATAAATTAATACAGACTCTTTTTAATCTGTCTTTTCATTGATTGTAAATTAGTTATTAACTTTCTTTGAACAAAATGGAGGTTATTAAAAAATTAATGCTAGCTCTCCTTGGGTAAACACTTTAACCTCTCTCTCTGGGCCCAAGGCAGCCTAGGGCCATGGAGGTTAATGCATTTTCGCTGTATTGTTGAATTAAAGGGTATTCTCGAAGAGTCAAGATTCCTAGGAGTGTTTGAAAGAAGCAATTAAAGGTGCGTGCTTGATGATGTCAAACTCAGACCCCTGACAGGCTTCTGAGTAGTCTCTAAGATGCCAGCTTTTAGGAGCTTGTCTGTAGCCAACTGCACAAGGAGAAAAGTAGGATGGAGTGAGCTAGAATATGCACCTCTTAAAGCAATTGGTGAGATGAAATGGATAAGATTGGAAGAGAAGTGAAGCATTCCTGTCCAGAAAAGTTATTATTTAAAGTTAAAACAATAAAAGAGAGTGAAGTGCTGATGAATTTGGTGATAAAATAGTGAGATTTATCAATGATATTCAGGCATTTGATAAACACCAAAGTAAGCACATCATTCTTTTTCTGTAAAGTCTCTTTACAGGAGGATTCAAATGGGCTTTTCAGTGTTTCAGTTGTATAATCAAGAAAGGTTTTCTATAGGTCATGTTCTTTTGTGTCTCACTATTTTCTTTTCAGTATGTAAAGCAAGAGAAAAAAATAACATGATGAATACAGTGTTCTCATAGTCCGGCTAATTGGTAACTGAATCTGTATCTTTTGAGAGGTAGAATATTCCAGTACTCATTAAAACCTACCTACCACAGCTAATGTCAGGTTGTATCTCCACACAATGACAAGGAGCTACAGTTAAGAAGCATCACCTACATACTCTTCTTTTAGCATTTGCACAGACTAACAAGGGCTACATTTTAGTTCAACAGCTATAATAAAATGCAAATTTTTTTACTCTTTCACAGTCCATATTCAAATGAACATCCCATTAAAATCCAACCTCGGCTCATTATATTTAGTTTGTGAGTGATGCTTCTTAAATGCAAAGATTTCTAATGACTATAATGTGCACACAGCCACATTTGAAAGAATGGCTCATTCTACAATGGCTATTCCCATCATCCCTCTGTGTAATAGAAGACAATTGTACGGAGATAATATGGCAAAGAATGACATGCCAGAGCAATTTGAAACTTAAGTTAAAATACATAATGACATTTAAAATCAATTAAAACAGTGAAATGGCAGTAACATCCATGCACTAATGATATACCTGAGAATTCATTCTGAAATCTGGAATCATCAATACACTTACATTTTGAACCTGACAGATGTAATATTCTATGAACTCCCACATTTCACCAACAATTAAGTTCAAGTTCATCACAGTTTTAATCTATGTCTTCTGCCTTGCTTTATTCTCTTTTTTCATGAGCCTCTCTTCCCAGTCTCACTTTTCCTGTACTCCTAAACCCAACATAAGTGAGTGTTGTTTACCATGGAAGCCCACAAGGCTCAACCACAGTGAGGACTTTTGAATTACATCTTTTATTGACCTTGGGGCTATTTTCAAAGTATAATGAGAGAATCTTTTGGCTTAGATTTGTAAAAGAGACCTCTTTTTTAAGTGTCCTTGGCTATTCTTCAATGAGTAATGAAAACATTTTCAGTCATCAATGAAATGACAGTTTTTAAAAATGTTTGAATTTTGTTAGATTATTTTTATGATCCCTTTCAACACTAACTCCATAGTCA